AGAGATAAATTTAGTCGATTAGTTTTCGCTCAGTCGATCATCCGTCAGCTAGTTTCCGTTTTCGATGAGAGGATTGATTCTCACGTGACGTTAGATAGATAGGGAGAGAAAACATATTCTTTTTCTTTTTTACCCTTGGTCAAATCAGAGGGCATTCGAAGAATAAAGGTGACACACAATATGGACGCACACAAATGGTCTGAAGAGTCAACGATGTATCCCGTACGAACGATTCGATTGAATGCCGGTGATCCGGCGAATCGCGAGCACCCGCCGCGGTACCAACCCCCGCGGTCCCAACCCCCGCTCTACACCCTCTACAACGCGCGAACAATGCAATCGCTCGAGCATGAGCATTTAATTGTTTCCGCTTCTGTTCGTCGCTGTTACCACCGCCGAGACATCCTTCTCGTCCTCTTCACTATCGCGTTCTCTTCGCTATCGCGTCCTCTAAGCACGTCTCTTCCTCGTTAGGGAGTTCATCTCAAAACGGAAGATGTCGATGCTTTAGCGCAACCCCCGATTCTCCTACATCCTTCGAAAAGTCGACTATCGATGATGATTGTACATCTGTATACATCATTAGAATAGTTACAATAGATACACACATACAACTAATATATATGTATATAGTTAAAATTGATATATATATATATATATTATATATTATATTACAATAATATATATTTAAATTATCTATTAAATATAATATAATTAGATATCATTAAATATTTATGTCAATTTATATGTATCTATTTATGATTACTGCAAAGGATCATTGCCATTTTTAAGTAAATACATATATATATATTTGTAATCTCTAAATGTCGATAGATATATCTTTTTAGTAATTTATTGTGATTATTTTATTTCATTAAATCTTTTCTAAGTCAATGCTTTATTTGCAATTTAAAATAAGAATAAACTATTATAAGAGAAAACAAAAGATATAACATCGTAAGAACCGAATCATTGGGATCATCAAACTTTTTAGTTTAGCCCTAATCATACCAATGTAATACACCTACATGCTTGCGTATTATTCGAAACGTTTCGTACGAAAAATGTTCGGACACGTGACGAGCGGCTTAATGCAAGGAAAAAGATCGGTATCACAATTTTGTAGGGAGCTCGGAGAACCTTGACGAATGCTCTTCGCTCGATCTATACGCTGATCAAGATTTCGATATTGTAGCCACGTGCTGTCACGCTCAAACGTGTATTGCACGCTTGCTCGACTAGATTCTACACCACGTACGTGCGAACCAATCCATATAGCTATATATATATATATAAATATACTTACATATATATATTTATACGTGTATATATGTATAAGATATATGGATATATACTACTTAAAACGTGAATCTCGTTTAGATTCTGATTGTAAGTAAATATAATGCCTCTTCACAATCCTAATTTAAGATTCCCTATAACTAAATACATAGGGTATATATAAGATAAGATCAACTTTTGTAGTGGTCATATTTCTAGGGTCAACTTAATCTCACACACAAATATAATTCTAAGAAATATGAAAAAATTACATAAAGTTTAATAGATGGAAATAAATGAAAAACTATTAGATAAAACTCGATCAAATAAATGACAATGAAAAGACTACTAATCTTCTTAAAGATATCTCTCTCTCTTTCCTTCTAAATGGCTCCTTCTTACAATTAGAAGAAGAAAAAAAAAGAGGAAGGAAAAGATGTACTCTCTTGTGTGTGTACTACTACACGATATCCCTTAAATCCCATAGACTGTATATAACGCGTAATCCACCGGTCTATTCTATGCGACGTGCATAGGCTTCGTGTATCGAGAACCGGTAATATACGAACATAGTCCATAATGCGGATCGACGTATACACGAACACACAACACGATGCACGCTCTCTCTCTCTCTCTCTCTCTCTCTCTCTCTCATACACACTCTCTTTCTCTCTCTCTTCGTCTATGGCACCATCCCCATTCAATAGCTGTGGGTATATACTCTGCTGATAGATATACGTATATACGTTGATGATGCGTCGCGTCAAAAGGAAGACCTAGCAGGACGAAAAGGATCTATCGTCATACTAGGTTTATACTCTTCTCCCGCGATTTTCAATAGCCTGGGATCAACGTCCTTGGAGAATATCGGAAGGAACCAGAACGATTCGACAAATTCAAGACAAATCCTATAATCCGACTCGTTCTAATGAGAAAACCATTTCTCGTGGTCTCTCTTCTTATCGAAAATCGTCATTTATGTTATATGTTCAATCGTTTTAATTATCGTTTGATCGAAAAAAAAAGAAAAAGAGTACGGATAAAATGTTATTATTTTTATTTAGATATTATAATTAATTAATACGATCGTGAAATTTTTTCAAAAGAAAAATTTTCCTTACCCCCGGCCCGATTATCTTATTAATTTAATTCTCTTTTCACATCGACGATAATTACAAGACTAAATTATAGCTTGTATATAAGATCGTTCAAAGATCTATGAAAAAATTGTTCTCCATCTCCAAAATGTTATTAATTAAACTAATTTACTATCTTAGATATATGTATATAATACTCAAAGAAATATTTTTTTTTCTTTTTTTCAGTTAAGATAATTAGTTAGTTGGGCCGGAATCATTAGATCTTCGTAAAAAGATTGAATAGAAAATTGTAAAAGGAGTGTGAACACGTCCGATGATGCTTATAGTTATTTGTAGAACCTTATTATTCTTTTTCTTTTATTTCGATAAGTATCTTCGTGTTTTATCTTAAGCCGGTTTTATATAACGGACGTTTACATCGATATTGACTTGTAAAAGAAAGAAATAAAGAGAAAGAGAGAGAAAGAAAGAGAAAGAGAAAGAAATAGAAAGAGAAAAAATAAAAAAGAAAAAGATAGATAGATAGATAGATAGAGTAACACATTCAGCTAACACACACTGGACGAAACAACATGGCCGCGGGTGGATCTCCATAACGAGCACGGTGACTTGCACATCCGACCCAGAACGCATTAGCCGTATTTGCATTTAATTGCCGGTTGTTTGTTTGACGTCCGCGCGAGCGAGTGAGCGAGCGCCGGAATTAGAAACGCGAGGGCATTAGACCGGCCGATCCTGTCGCGGCTACATTTTCGCTCATGCAGCCGCGAAATGCATTTTATGGATACATTTCATGGTTTTAGATCGCGACCTCTAATCACCGTGTCTTTTCTAAATGCTGCACTATTCTTTCTTGACCCAATTTACAAACATAAATACTACTCTTACATTTAAGAAAAATGAAAATATACAAATTCATTAGATATGCTATATTTCCAATTTTGAAATGGAAAGCTTGCGAAAAGAAGCACGTTCCCAAAGGTATCTCCGTATCGCTTGCTATTACGTGCTTGCACGTATTTTATCGGACGCGTCTGTAGATATATACGAGTACATACATACATAAGATATATATATATATAGGTATATACTATGTACATATATATATATATCAGTTATGTAGTATCCTAACTGAATCTCTTCTCTCGGAGGAACTCTTCTCCATCGTTCCCTTCCTCTTTGGCCATGTTACTTGAGACTTACTTCTCCTCGCTTATCTCTCTCTCTCTCTCTCTCTCTCTCTCTCTCTCTCTCTTTACTCTCTTTCTTTGTCTATCTCTCTATCCTTTCCTCACTTCCGACAGCCCCACCCGTCCCTTCGGGCAACCAATCCCGAGTAAAGTTTGTTACACAACTCGAGGAACTTTCGAAAATGGTCTGCCTCCGCCAAGTAAGCTGTTCTTGGCTCCCTCGTTAGCTAGACTTTCGTCTTTGCCACGGGACTTTGCAGAAACCACAACGGGCACGATATACGTCTCGCTCTTGTAAAGTTTCTACTTCGAATTTTCCTACATCGAAAGTGTAACTGTGACTGTTACTGTGACTGTGACTATGACTGACTATAAACTATGAATTATAAACTGTGACTGTGGCTGCAACTGCGACTGCAACAATAATTGCAACAACAACTGTGTCCTGCGACTGCGACTTTGAATTGTCCTCCAGTCGATTTTCGATACTTTTTTTCAACGTATAGGAGGAATCGATATTGCTTATCTTAAGACTACATAGAAAGAGAAAGAGAGAGATTCACACAATTAATCTTATGTGTTAGAATAAATGTACACATATATTTAAATATCTTACCTCGCACGTTGTTAAATATTTACTTAAAAATAGCAATGATCCTTTGCAGCAATCATAAATAGGTACATATAAACTGATATAAATATTTCATGGTATCTGTAAAATAAAGAAATAAATTAATTTTAATCAATAAATATATTTAAGAATATTAGAATAATTTAATAATGAGAACAATAATAATTATAATAATAATGAGACTATATCATATTATTAATATAAATTATTTAATAAAACTTAGAAACAGAGATAATTATTTACAATGGTACATTATTAAATTAGGTTATTTTGTTAATATTTTTATCCTTATGAGATCAATTATATTGAAAAAATAACAATTCTTTACCTGATTTGTCTTTAGAAATATTGTGTAAATAAACTTTAACTGTATAACCACTTCTAATGATAAAATAAAACAAAATATAGAATAAAATGAAATTTCCAACAAATCCGATTTGAAAAGACGCGAAAACCGTTACGTTTTAGCCGCGTTCTACATTACCAACGAATTAACTACTATACAAAATGAAGAAGCTAGATAAATCGTTTTTACTCGGTTGGTAATTCGATAAGGTAGTAAATTTCTTTACTGATTGTGAGATAAAATATAATAGATTACATATAAAAAAGATAAGGAAAAAATTAATAATAATTTTAATTAAATGTAATTTTGTTAATAGAAGCAATATAAGATGACACTTTTAATTTGTATGACTTTTTTAGTACTAAGAAAGTTTGATTCTATTGGCGGGAAAAGTGTAAATTTTCAAAATACGTCGGTAGGAAATTCTTCATTTTCAGATTGAGAGCACTGCTTCTGATATTCGATGGTGGAAATGCAACGTTAATCAGTGTTTTTTTCACGAAAGAACTTTTACCGAATATTTATTTCTACTATTCTATTATTTACGAAAGAGAATGAAATATGGTGATTTTGAAAATTATTATGTCAACGTGAAATAAGACTGAAAATGTTAGTATATATGGGTTTCTTTATATTAATTAAAATATGTCTCGTACAATTTGAAAATAGGTGAGTTGTTATAATCACCCTTAATGTACTTTGATTAACTTTCGGTTAATGTATTATTATCTATCGATGACTGTATTATAAATATCTTTAACATATGTAAATGTTCGACTCTTACATAAAATATTGACTTAACTTCTGTAGTGAACATTTAATTATGTCTTGTATTTATAATATTGGTATAGTTGGTATGTTTTTATGAATATTTCCTCCAATCATTAAACTTATCTTTAATATTTCTTTAACATTTCTTTTCTCAAAAGAGATTTCACAAAAGTGAATATTTTCTTTTAATTATATTTTATTTCTTTCTCTTTTTAGTTACTGAATTTAATATATTACTATTGTAAATATTAAGAAACAGACGATATACGTGATAACCATGGCAGTGCATAGGCAAGAAAAAGATAACAACAAGCTTATAAATCTAATCCGACAAAGGGAAATACAAGTAAGATTTATTCATTACTTGTCCTAATTTCTATTTATTTAAGTTATTATTTTATTATTATATATTTCATTCTTTATCTATGCGATCTTATTTTCTATAGGAATCCATAGCGTATACGGTCTCTCAAAAATTGCACGTTACTGAAAATTTGATATTGCGATTAGGACTAGAAAAAGAATTGAATGGTCATTCGGGTTGTGTTAATTGTTTGGAATGGGATGAAACTGGAAAGTAAGTATTATTTATTTATTTCTCAATAAAATGAAATCAATGTAAATTTGGTGATAAATATGGTTATATTTTTAGGATACTAGCTTCTGCCTCGGATGATACAAATATTATATTATGGGATCCATTTCGTTATGAAAAAAAAGTAGTTATTCAGACAGGACACCGTGGAAATATATTTTCTGCAAAGGTATTTCTATATTTATAAGTAAAGATGGTTAATTATTATAATTATTTTGTCAATTTGTTTATAAAAGCATTTGTTTGATACTTTCACTTTGCCAATCTGAGTTAAGTTATGGCTCATCGTTATAATAAATATTTTTTTTTAGTTCATGCCAAAGACAAATAATAATGTATTGGTATCAGGGGCAGCGGATTGTAAAGTACGAGTGCACGATCTTAGTCTAACAGAACCCATCCTTGCATGCAATTGTCATCTAGGACGTGTTAAACGTATTGCTACGATAGGAAGTATACCTTCATTATTTTGGAGTGTGGCTGAGGATGGTTTGGTCTTACAGTACGATATACGTGCACCACATACGTGTGAATATAATGAGCCTAACGTACTTATAAACTTGGTCAATCATATGGGAAAATTTGCGGAAGGAAAATGTATCTCCATAAATCCTAAGAGACCAGAATTGGTAGCTGTCGGAGCTAATGACGCTTACATAAGGATGTATGATCGTAGAATGATCAAACTTTCTCAGGTTATTTTTATCTTTATTGAATAATCATTTGTATGCATATCATCGTATAGATTGAAAAACATTTTTTATCTATTCCATAATACAGCTACCTATCGTTGACTGGGGCAGGAGACATTTTGACTTCATTCGAGCTGGTGCAGGTGATCCGGAGGATAATGTACCATTGGGTTGCGCACAGTATTTTATCGCGGGTTCGTTCGTACGATCAGAGATAGCGTACGCGGCTCCTTTATACTTACTCCTCCTTTTTGATGCCTCTTACATGATTTCTCTAACGGAGACTATTCTTTTACATTAAATAGGCCACCTGCACTCACGTCCGCGTGATGGTAACAGAAGTCTTACAGCAACATATTTGACCTTTAGTGCCGATGGGAATGAATTGCTAGTTAATATGGGCGGAGAGCAGATTTATTTATACGATATCAACAATTCGAAAAATTCGAAAATATTTCAAAGTTACAATGTTAAAAATATTTCAGGTAAAAAATAGAGACGTTTACGCGTATCTTTACTTTTATTTATTCCATTTATTTCAGTCATTAAATACTTAAGAAATGATAAATTCAATCGAGTTCATTATCATTTTTTACAGAGACTAATGAAAAAGATTCCAAATCAAAAAATGGTTGTATAGAAGGCTATGATGTTAATCTTTCTAGTAAAAATATTAGAACTCTGCCTCATCATGTCGAAGATTTAAAGCGTCAGGTATATTATACATCATCATGTATTATGAATTTAATAATTGTCATTAATTGAATTTGTCTGTTACTATTATTCAAGATTTTACCTCTTTTTTCTACAATTTTTCTCTTTCTCTTTCTTTTACTTTTCTTTTTATAGGCTAACGAAGGCTTTGAACAACAAAAATATACTATAGCAATCAATTTATATAATAAAGCAATTAGTTACTGCCCCACAGCAGCTGTACTTTTTGCTAATCGAGCTGCAGCATTTATGAAACGTGCTTGGTAAGTAAACAATTATTAATATTATTATCCATAATTAGACAGTATAAGTACTATTACTCTTGAATAGCTGTTTTATATTATTACCACTGTATTATTGCAATTTACAGGGATGGCGATACCTATGCCGCTTTACGCGACTGTCGGACAACTTTGCTTTTTGACCCGCAACATGTGAAGGCACACTTTAGGTTAAAAAGACAATTTCTTTTATTCTTCCATAACTGACAATGAAATCAAACTTACCCAATCATTCCATTTTTTTTATTTGTTTTATTTTTAACATTTGTACGATATTTATAGGTTAGCACGATGTTTGTTCGATCTTAATAGATCGGTAGAAGCTGAAAAAGTTATTAAAAATTTCCTATACAAATTTCCTGAATACGCATCCAATTCTGCATGTAGAGCTTTAAAAATGGATATTAAGGCAGCTATTGATTCTGGTTTGTTTGCAATAACTTTAACCTTAAAGATATTAATTTTGATCATCTAACAAAAAATCTATATTTTCATCTTTTAGGCAGAGACGTTGATAGTTTTGAACAAGAACTTCCACGTATCTCAGGCTATGAGAAAGAATGGAGAAGCAATACTATAGATTATAACATGAGATTTTGTGGTCATTGTAACACTACAACCGACATAAAAGAAGCCAATTTTTTTGGAAAGTATGTAAAATAATCATTGATATGAAATAATATATAATAATGTTAAATTCATCATATATATAATTAAAATTATATTGATTTTTACTCAAGCAATGGACAGTATATAGTAGCCGGATCAGACGATGGTTCCTTTTTCATTTGGGATCGAAATACAACAAATATTGTACGCGTATTAAGAGGTGACGATCGAATTGTTAATTGCCTTCAGCCACATCCATCGACGTGTCTATTGGCAACAAGCGGTATAGATCCAGTTATCAGATTGTGGAGTCCGCTTCCAGAAGTATTTTCATATTTCATAGATTTCATTTATAAAATTAATTATATAAAGAAAAAAAAACTGATTTTTTATTGAAATAAATTTTAGGATGGCAGTATCAATGACAGGGAAATAAAAAATTTAGAAGATGCCGCATTAGCAAATCAAATACGTATGAATAGAGATCCATTTGAATTAATGCTCATTAATATGGGTTATAGATTACCAATCGGACAACCCGAAGAGAATGAAGCTAATGAAGAAATTGATGATCAAAATGATCAACCAATTGTTCATCCTTTAAATTGTAGACCAAGTTAAGCCTTTGAAAAAAAGAAAAAAAAGAAATAACAAATGTCGATCATTTGATAAAATTTGGTCACCAAAAAATGTTGCACGCCTTATATTTGTAATATATCTTATTCCATTTTTGTTTCTCTTTAAGCTCTTCTTGCATATTATTATTATTATTATTATTATTATTATTATTATTATTATTATTATTATTTTGTTTGATATTAAGTAAAATATTTGGAGACTACGCACCACACATTCGTTCTACTCTTTTCGATAGAAGGATTCATTTATAAACAATAATAAAGATCAAGTGTACAGAAGAAAAATATTAATATATAGTCTTTTTGTTTTTGCAAATTGTATTTAATAAAATAGATTATACTAGTTTTACTATTTGTAAATTAATCTTACCTTTATTATATGCCAAAATGATGTCTATATAAGAAAATATTCTTAACGCATAGAAAAATGAATCAAGTAGATGGAACGAGTTCCCATAAATTTTGTAAAGTGCTTCCTTCTCTGGGATCTTCGATAGCTAATCCTAAATAATTTGAAAAATTTGCTTTTCTTTGCGTGAAGCCTCCTTCAAAAAAATAATACCCAAAAACATCAGAAATGTCAGCCTGATTATCTTGTATTTCATTGAAACGTTCTGGGTGAATCTCTTCTTCCATCGGTCCCTAGACACAATTATCCATATATTTGACCAAAAAATATCTAAATATATTTTATCTAAACTTTATCTAATTATAAAATCTATATTTGTATAAAACAACTTTACCTGATATTCAAGAGTGTAGTCTACGCCAAAGATTGGTGATTTATTATACGCTGTTACTAATATATTTATTTCTTTATGAAGAGTATTAAGTTTTTGTATTGGATTTATACGAAATCCTAATATATATCCACCATTATTTTCGTCGCTTAATACTACCAAAGTCGGCCCAAATTTTGAATTTCTAATTGTAACCTAAAAACGAGATCATGAATAATATCTTTATACAGAGATGTACCATTTATCGATCACTTACGCTAGCAATCGATAGGTATGGTATCGATACATTAAATTGATTATTCATATCTGCAAACCATACAAGTCGAATATTCGTAACAATCAAAGTTCCGACATTTCCCTAAAATATTTTCATCAATGTTATTTTGTTATTGTTATTTTGAAAAGAAAACAAAAAGAAGGAGAAATATATATAAAGTTAAAAATATGAAACCTGTTCCACGGATAAATTCCATACATCTGGTGAACTGGATTGAACTTTTTCATGTGGCAACAAAGTCAATCTATTTTCATTAATAATACCACTTCTTAATTTAATTTCTCGATAAATTTTGGATGACGTATAAGCTCTGCAGAAAAATTACTTGCTTTTATTTTTTAATTGTTATTCAAAGTATCTTATTTATAATAAAAACAAACAAAATCACACCTATATACGCCAATAACTGAGGTATAATGTCTAGTACTTTTCGAATCTAAATTTGTGAATATAAATTCATATTGACTATTTCGAAAAGACGTTAAAATGTGTAAGGCTTGTGTGTATCCACCTTTAATCTAAAATATTAGAAAAAAATTTATATATATATATATACTATAATTTCTAATAATCTATTTAAACCCCTAGTCGAAGGACACTTACTGTACTTACAGTTTTTGAATTTATTGTAACAAAAGTATTGAAACCAATACCTGAGAAAGTGACAAAAATTAAGCATCATTTTTTTTGTTTCTTAAATTGATAAAATTGATGCCATTTCAAACATACTTAAATTAATTCTTGGTAAAGACAAAGAATGCCATAAAATTCGTAGATTCGTTACAATTAATCTTCCATTGTCACCAGAATTTCCTTTCGTGTCTTCTATCAGATCAAGTTTATCTACCACCATTTCACCAGCTCTTAATTGCATTTGACTACATTTAAAAGGACAAATAATCGATGTAATTATTATCCCTATTGCGTTATATTTTGTTTCATATTTTCTAATATATTATCATCTAGTAAATGCTAAAGAATAATCCTTAATGTAACGAATAACAAAAAATACCAAAGATAAAATTTAAAAAAATATCGCAGAAAGAAAGAAATAATTTCTCAAATGTGCCATAGCTTTATGAAATGATTATTGTGATAAAATAATTACTTGTAAAATACATCAAATCTTATCTCTTTATCTTGCCACATTATCACGTATTTGATAACGTTTTAAAAACCTATAAGAAGTTTAATTGATAAATTTGAAAAATACTTCGAATAAAACGTTCTTCGTCGATATCTCTTAATACTACATTTATATTATAGTATACGCGCGACGAGTACTGCCATATTGCATAGTTACCAAATGACGTCAATTTTTTTTAATTTCATAACATAACCTCACGTATCTCTTACACAAACATAAACAAAATATATCGATCTTATGCTATACGCATAGGAAAGTATATAATTCTACATATTTTTTTTTTTTAAGCTAAAGATATGCGTTTAAAACAAAATTAGAATTAAAAATAACATGCACAAGTATTATTAAATAATTACTATAAACATATATCTAAATAAATCATTCGCATATTAAGCAATGAAATATATGTATAAGAAATAATTTATAATATTACAACAGAATTATAATTCATTCACATTAACAACGTAATTAAATGTAACACTAAACTCCAATAGGTACTTTTCTGATAGCAAAGAATATGGTTCTTTTCCATATGATATGTGTAATTTAAATTTACTGTGGAAATTTAATTTCCGGGATTCTAATTTTTATGTTTGCTATAGAAATAAAAAGAATCTACAAAAGAAAAATATCACATATCCTGCAAAAGTAATATTAAAGATAGAAAACATTGTTATACATATGCTACTATACAGACGCGCGCATAAACACACACACACACACACCAACGTGACAAGTAGACCGTAAATAAAATTTGTTCTATATAAGGAACTAATATACGTATGGACAATATTTGGTAATATCATTGGTAACATAAAAATAATCAATTCTATTAAATAAAGATATAGAAAACTAAGTTTACATCATTTATATTGTTATTGTTGTTTTATCAAATCCTTGTTTTTATACCTTACAAAGGTAGATTATTATTATTATTAGTATTATTATTATTATTAGCATTATTACTATTATTAGCATTATTACTATTATTATTATTTTTATTATTATTATTATCACTGTTATTCTTGTTGTTGTTGTTATTGTTGTTATTATTATTATACTTATGAGAATTTGTACAATCGCATTTTTTACTTTTTGTTTCGTTTCATTTATAAATAACATATAATGTCGATTGATGTAAAGAAAGTATAATTATATCCAATGAAATATTCTTACTCACATATGAATGATTTCGACACAGAATTATGTACTTATGCTATTAGTAGTATGCTGCGTGTCGATATTTACGTCAGTTGATATAGAAAAACTATCACCAGGATTATTGTTCTGTCCATTTTCAGCTGTATTATAGCTAGAAAATGAACAAGCTGGTGCACTTCTTGGCATCGCTGCTGCTGCTTCAGGAAGAAGCGATGTACGTTCTGTCGCGCTTCCCCATGCTTGTTGATAAGCACTGCGTCCTATAATTCTGCGACTTAAGGATGATCCAACAACTCCTAAATGTTCCTTAATATCGTTATGTACATCGGAAACATCCCACATTGCTCTAAATAAAAATGAATAAATGTATTTGGTTAATTAATTAAAATTGAATACCAGCAATGTTTGATTAATACCTAAATGCATCCCACCAAGCTTGACTCTGTGCTAAATTTACAAATGGTTTATATGTAAAACTGTAGTGATGCGCTATGGCAGCTAAAAACATTTCGATACAAATTAAAAAATCTTGTAATTTGGAAGATATATTTCTTATATCGTGTGTGTCCACCGTCTTAAATATACTTGATATTACATCAAAGTATACTAATAGAGCTATCATAACTCCTTGGCTGTAAGAAAAAGTGAAAAAATTATATGATTAGGTAAGTCATTGTTTTTCTTTCTATCTCTTCTTTTTTTCCATTTTAAGAAAAGCTAATATTAAAAAACTTACAAAAACGAAAAGAAAACGACTGCTTTAATACACAAAAACTTCCCAATTGGTTTCATGGGTTTCAGAGCTATTGAATTAGCACGATAGAAAAGAACTAAGCAATACATTGCAATAAACTGGGACAAATTATTTAGAGCGATCATGTATGGAAAAGCAACATCTGCTCTGAATTCTCCTTCTCCATATACTCCATTTAGTTCGCATATACTAAAAAGATACAATAATATCAAATATATTAGAAGCTAGAAGATATTTTTTGATCTAAGCGAGCTATTTAAATAAAAAAGATTATCCTGTATTAATTCCATGATACTTACAAAGATACTAAAGTTGATATAGGCCTAACTGCTGTGTATTGTAAAATACCATGTTTGCACATATGTACAAATTCTCTTCCCATCTCCCAATCAGGAAGACAACATAAAGGAAACATATGATGTACCTGAGGAGACATTTCCAGTCTGTGTTCTAATTGATGATCCGCATTTAGATAGGCCAACAGATACATCATAAAATTATATATTACGTATGCCTCATAACACTCTCTTAAACTATCAACATATATACTGCCCTCGGGATAGACAAGTCCTAACCACTGAAATGTCAAACGAAAAAAAGTACATATATAAATGTTCAAAATACATATCTACTTAATATAAAGATTATCCAACTTACAGCATTAACCGCGTAAATAGGTACCATCCATAATATTCTAAACAAAATGATAATATTTGTTAAATTATTTATATATATATATAAAAGAAAATGATATATAAAACAATAATATACCTAATGATATATTTTTGTAACCTAGGCTGAGTGTAATATATCATATGTTGGACGATTTCGTAGAAAGCTATTGGCAACGCCAACAATACAAATGCTCCACCCACCAATGCACCTTGATCTTGTTTTTGAAAGCCATTCTTAATAGAATTAGCTATTAAGACTGGTACTAATATAATAATTAAGAGAGCATAAAGACAAGTCAAAACTGGTAATATCCATAATCTCCATCGTCTACAGATCGAAGCCATTGCTTTTCTATAATGTACAGTATTTTACATACTTTAATAAAATAAACTCTTGCACTGAAAATAACAATAAATACTCCTATATATACATACCATACTACTATGAATCGTTGATTGAACAAATATCAAAATCAAAGTTGAACAATTTTATCACTCGACCGATAAAACGTTATTTATTTTCGTCAAAATTGTACAATACGTTATTAGCAATGTTCATCGTTAGAGAATAAAAGTTTATAGAGATAACGTAAACACTCCAGTCATTGCTATATTCTTGATCAAATCGTGAATAGGTTAAAACACTAGGAGAAATCGTTCAACAATGACAGTTCGATGATGTCAATCATTTTAACCTCTTCTTTCGAATAATCTTCAATTTGACAGTTCTATTCACTTTAAGATATTATTCCTTCTTTAAATTCATTCTATTTATCTATAGAACATAAATTTTCTAAAAATACAATGTTTTATCAAAATATATATGTATGTATATATATATATATGTTTGTATATATATGTAAGCATATAAAGTATATATATAGATATTATTTGCAAAGTAACAATTCCACCATCGCGAACATATATTTTATAGATCGAAAAAAATTAACATAATTAAATACAATGTATGCGTGCATCCCCAAAACACTGACTTGCACATCGATAGACTAATTCGAGAAAACCCGACCAATAATTGCGTTTCTTTTTCTAAGAATCGCTTTTCAACCTATCTTTTAATTATCTAATATAATTAGATAAAGTCTAATATCTCTACCGATTATCGATTATCGATTTCTACATAAAGACAAATAAATGTAAATATTGAACTTTTTTATTCGATGATTCACAGAGGAAGCGGAGGAAAGAGTATTTATGAGATTTTAACTTGATAAATAATATAATATATTTGTTTAATTTTCATTTTAATTAGTTAATAACAAAGTAATACGCGTACGTGTGTATTTTTATGTTAAAAGAAATGAATTTTAAAATATAATAAAAGTCGTAATATGATTAGATTCTGTACTAGATTCTGATTGGTTAGTACTAGTAGCGACGTAAAAATTGGCCAATCAACATTCAATATAAACAATCTATCTTCATACATTGCACTTTTTGTCTTTAAATGCAACAATTTATTCTTTAATTTAGGTGTATATGCATATAAGACTTATGAAAATTTGTATACTTTATTAGATTATACGATGAAAAAATGTCTATATATTTATCTGTATGTGTATATGTACATTAAATTATTGTTGCATTTTGTACAGCATCTACATAGTGTCATTTATTTAATTTGTTCATTCGAAGAAGATGCAGTAGTTGTGTCTCCATCAGTTTGTGATAATTTTGCTAATCTAGCCAATTTTTTTTCTTCCTTTACTTTCTTTTTAGCTTCCTTCAATTTCTTTTTTTCAAGCTTCTCTTTTTCTGCCATTACTGCTTTAAATTTCTCATCGTGTATAGACACGTGTGAACCAAGCTCTAATCTAACTTCTTGTATTAAACGATCTTTACGTTTCTTCGCTTCTAATAAATCTGCTTCTTTTTTAGCAATTCTTGTATTTAAATCATTTATCCATTTATCCAGTTTGGCCATTTTTTGAGATACTTCAGCTTCTCTAGAAAATTTTTTAATACACTTGATATATGAAAGATAAGATTTTATTCTCAAAAAGAAAGAAAAACAAAAACAAGATGATACAAGGGAAGCTATCAACTCTAAAAATTATACAAATTATATGATACCTAGCCTTTATTGCTTCTGCGTTTGTTCTGTTTTTCTCTTCTATCCTTGCCCATTCTTCTTGAATACTATACGGATAAGCAACTCTTTCGTATTCCTTCATATCGTTGACTTCTTCTGGAGTTGGCCAGACAAACCCTGCTGGTTCTTCAACCGCTTTCATACCATATCTACCTAGCAGACGCTTCTTATATTTAATAGTATTGTGATACCATTCTTGGGCTTCTTCATAAGGTCGCTGTCCAAATAATATATTTCTATGCTCTTTATTAAGTCTCGATTTGTTTCTTTTCTTTTCAAGTTCAATATTTTCTATTTCTTGATAAGTATCATAAACGGGTGTCTCTTCAGCAGTCTCATAAATGGATTTTTCACTACCAACAATAATATCTTTATCTGCTTTTGATGAAAAATATCTACTGCTTAATATATTTTGCATACGTATATATAAAGATGTATTCAAATTAAATAACATTTTTAGACTCATCTTGTTTTCTATTTTAATATATGTTTCGTTAATTCCTTTTTGTCTTCCTCATCAGACAATATGAATTTATTATAATAATATAATAATTTAAATTTATAGGTTAAAGTATTTTAAATACAACATTGCTTACGAAAACGATAGAGTATCAAACCAAACACAATTATCCTTCATCGATAGTAATTTTACAATGTTACTAAATAAAGCACACAACACATACGTCTTGTAAATTATTTTTTCAAATAATTAATTTTATTGTACTAAAAACATTAAAAAAATTTATAAACCTTTATTTCATTATTATTATGTAAATAATATTTTACTTTCATTTCCGCTTTTCTAATCTAATAATTTTCATCAAAGATAAAGATATTGCATCGTCGTCCAACTACCAATCACATCGTAGAATCATTTTCACGTAAACCAATCAGAATCAAGAGTATAGTACGTAGAGGAAAGCAATTGGACGCATTGATCGAATAAAATTCTACCTATATAAATACATCTAATATTATATCTAGAAAGTAGGAAAATTAAGATCAAGAACAAGACAAATTTTATCCTTGATAAATATTTACAAATAAAATTACGATTAAGGGTAATTAACGAATATGTGTGTCGTGGTATGTATTGCGCGGGCGCGTGCGAATCATATATTATTGTTAAATCAGATAATCCAATAGTTTTTTTGACAAAAAAAAAGAGAAAATCTCTTATTCAAAAAAGAAAATTTTCTATTACCTTGATCATATAAAAGAGCAAGGTCACGTAAAATAATTCATACGATCATAAACATATTCGGTATTGTTTTTTAACGATGACGTTAAAATGCTCTAATATAATTCGAAAAAGTAATATATTATTATTAACCGCGTATTTCTTAAGAAGATAAGTTGTGATTTTCTAACGACAACGACACGGCGATAACGACCGTGGTGATACAGTAGCAGTAGCAGTAATAGTAGCAGTAACAGTAGCAGTAGCAGTAGCAGTAGCAGAAACCGAAGTCGAAGTCGAAGTCGAAGCCGAAGCAGTCAACGATAGCGGACAGCTGCGATCGAAGGACATGAATAGGTGTGACAAGGAAGGAGATAGAAATAAGAGTGTTTCGGAGAAAGCAAAAGGGAGAAGACCATAAATACGCAAGATTAGAACATTTTCATCATTACTTTTCTGTCCTTTGTGTCTGGATTGGACGCAGGAAACATGTTATTAAACGGTCAGATTGCAATCATCAAGTTTTTTCCAAAATATTATCTTTTCAACTATCTGTGTTGTATACGAATGAAATGATAAAGAAAGAAAAGAAAAAGCTCAGTTAATAAGATATTTTCGCGCCGTACGTTAACCGACGCGATCTCTCTTTCTCTCTCTCTACTTTGTGTATAGTGACAAGGAACAAGATTAATGTTAACTTGGCATACCCTTTCAGAGCGACCCTTTTTTTCTTTCTTTCTTCTTTTTCCATAGATAACGAGCTCTTACCCCGTTACGGTTATCTCTCAGGAACTGCGAATGGATATTTTCTTTTTCTTTTTCTTTTTTCCCGCGCTAGAAACTGATGCGCTTAGGCCTTACGTTAGATTGAACGCGCTAATCCAAAGAGAAATTCAGTCAAGTCAAGGTTATATGCGTGCGTCTCTTTTCCAATGTGTATTGTCAAAATCAGCTGCCATTACTACTATAGCGTGTTGTACTTACGTACTTAGGACTCTACTCTTGTCGTCGTGGTCATCGTCGTGATCGTGTGAGCGTCATGTTTCTTTTACTTTACGACGATATATCTACTACGTACTTTCTGTCTCCCCTTATTATTTATTATTTTAGTTTATTTATTTACATTACCGTTTGATCCGTGTCAAGACATTTCACAGCGTTCATTCTCAATCAAAAAATTATTATTTTTTACATTTCATTTATAAATGATTCTTTTCTTTCCTTTTATTTTCTCTTATTGTTCTACATGTAAATGTAAATAGAATAATTTTTCTTTTTTTTCTTTCTTTTTCTATTTTTTCTATTCTTTTAATTTTTTTTTATTTAGCATGCAATAGTATTTAAGATTGTTGATAATTTTTTCTTCTTCTTTTATTACTATTATTATATAATTCAAATCTTCTTTAGTTAACATATCAAATTTATTTATAATATCTTTGTATATTTTATTTTGAAATAATTAAATTTGTTTCTTGTATAAAAAGTAATATTTTCAAAGTTTATGTGATGTTAACTGCCATAAGCATTTAATAAAACATTTGGAGAATGCTATGCAAAGGGAATTGAAAGCTAGAATATATATTGATTACAAAAGAAATTTAATTTTATAATATATTTGCTAATGTTTCTTTATAAAGTGTCTATTTATTTTTCATTTATGCATAATGCACATTCCCTTTTTTACAGGGTTTTCTTATTTAATACTTCTATGATTAAAGCAAAACTATATGTCTATGCGTAAACATAGACATTTTCCTCTATACTTGTGCATGTTTCTTTATTCTTTGTTTTTTATATATCTATAAGATCTGTTACAGATTGAGGAAGAAAAATCAAAGTGTACAAGCATAAAATAAAGCAAAGGAAATATTGAGATTGATTATTCTTGCCTTACCTTTACTTAAGGAATAAACCAGCAAGCAATTATATTAAAAAAAGAATCATAGTTCTAAGAGGGAGCAAAAGCAAAGATTAAACGTAATAGTGGTAAATGCGGTGGTTGAAGGAGATATGGACCCATCAATGTTCGTTGCTTACACCCCTCAAACAAATGGAGTTCCATTGGAGTCCAAACTTGCTACCTACATGGTATTAATATAGTTTGTATATATTATAGCGGATATATAAAATAATATGCTTATCACATATTATTATTATTATTATATGTTGTATCGTATTAAATTATACTTAATAATGTTTGTATTCTGATAGAATCGTCAAAGTCCTGGGACAACATTAAATACTAACGCAGTAACAAAACATCTATCCAATCTTTCCCTTGATTCGCAGAAGAAAGTAACTGCCAGCCCAGAATTTGTACCAGGGAGAGGTTTAACTGGTAGCAATAGCAGTTCCCCTAATCTTTTTAATAATTCCTATCATTCCCAAGAAAATGTAGGTGGCACAACTTATTTTTATCTTGGCAATGCTAGCACAGATGCTGTTGGAGGGGAAGAGGGAACGGAAGGTGTAAGTTATTCCCCAAAACATGTCTTATCATTATTTACTGTTAGGAGATATACATCAGTATTTTTAAGAGTGTAGATTTGGAGAACATATACATCTACATTTTATTTTATAAAATGACCACTGCTCTTTATTGATTCAGATTGCTACTATGGGAACAGGTCAAGCAGGCTATGTATATCCAGGTACACCGGCTCATTTGCAACCTGTCAAACCATCCAAGACTTCTTCGTCAAGTAGCTCCTCTGCCCCTTCCACACCCCCGCCGCAAGCAGCTCCTAGCTATTTTATCAGTGAAAGTTTACGAATGGACATTCTGCAAAAGAATGCTTTAGTATTAGCTCAACCCGATGTGGTGAGATTTCCTGACCTACCAAATGAGGTAGACAATTATCACGAGTTATGTCCATTGGAACCTACTCATAAGCCAGCTTCTACAGTACTTGGATATCAAACTTCGACGTATAAAGCAACCAGTATAAAAAGTGGTACACGTTATTGTTTACGTCGTGTTCATGGTGAGCACCAGTGTAATCGTATTAAATATATTTTCATGTTTATATCTATTTCTTTATTATAGAAATTATATTGTATACAATTCTTGAAATGTCCTTAGATTTCAGACTCGCAAATACAAAATGTATGGTTTTGGTTGATATGTGGAAAAGACTAGCGCACACTAATTTAGTTCAATTAAGAGAGGTCTTTACTACTAAGGCCTTTGGCGATCATTGTGCGTAATTGACAGTTATCCGTAACATATTTATATTTATATATAAGTATAATCGTATATATTTTGTCTAATTTAGTATCGTTACAGCCATGGTATTCGTATATGATTATCATCCTGGATCAGAGACATTATTAAACAAGCATTTTTCATCGACTGAATTGAATGGTTATACCGATCCATTTTCTTCGGATCCCAATGCTCCACGTCCGTATAGTCATACAAAAAATACTATTCTTAGGCAACAACATAGTAGCATGCTTCCTGAAAGTGTTATTTGGAGTTATATCATTCAACTCACTGCTGCCCTACGTGTAATTCATGCGGCAGGTTCGTGTTTATTTTTCTATTATCTAACAATACGCTTGTATCTTTACAATTATAGTTAAATAAAACGCGTTTGGCAGGCTTGGCATACAGGTGTTTGGATCCCACCAAAGTATTATTAACGTCACGTACACGGCTTCGTTTGAGTTGCGTCGCTATACCGGATGTTGTTACATTTGATGGAACTGCAACAAATCCACTTACACTCATACCTCATTATCAACAAGAGGATTTAATAGCACTAGGAAAGTTGGTATTGGCTTTAGCATGTCGCAGTCTTCTTGCCGTCCATCGCGACAATATGCAGGCCTCTCTCGAGCTCGTCGCACGATCCTACTCCACCGATCTTCGAAATCTCATATTGTTCGTATTATATATTTGTCCCGAGTATGCCTAGTAATTCATATCGCTCTTATACTGCTTTGCATTTTCTATACATAAGAAAACAACGAAAGACGAAGACCTACATCTTTTATTAAAAAGAAAAAAAAAACATGTTCTTTTAGGTATTTACTTTCAAATCAAGCTCGAAGAAGTGTAACAGATCTCATGCCAATGATTGGAGCACGCTTTTATACTCAATTAGATGCTGCTCAACTTAGGTCTGATGTACTCGAGAATGAGCTTGCCAAGGAATTAGAAAATGGAAGATTATTTAAGTTACTCGTTAAATTGGCTACCATCAATGAAAGACCAGAATTAAATATGGAACCCACTTGGGCAGAAACTGGTGATAGGTATATGCTCAAATTATTTAGGGATTATGTTTTCCATCAAGTAGCCGCAGATGGAAGGCCTTGGTTAGACATGGCACATGTTGTCTCTTGCTTAAATAAGCTTGACTCTGGATCTCATGATAAGGTATAATTCATTCATTTTCTATATAGATATAAGAGATTTATATTTGTATTTTCATCACTATTTATATATATATATGTTATGATCAATGTAGAGAATCCGGGCATTCTATACAATGTCCAGATTTTGTACATTAACAGTAACATATATAAATCTATAATTATAATAACCCTATAGGCTTGTTTAATTTCATTGTAGATATGTTTGATGTCACGGGATGAACAAAGTGTATTAGTTGTAAGTTATGCAGAATTACGACAATGTTTGGAAACTTCGTTTGGGGAATTGGTACAATCGACAAAAGATGCTGTCTAGGCCAATAATCTTTTTTTATTAGCCAGATACATACTCCGAACCATAAATGTGATATCACCATTTAGCGGTACTATCATTTTAAACTTTATAAATATATTTAAGAAAGTGTGCGAATACAACAGAATTCATGTGACGATATAAGAGAATGATACAGTTTGTAAACATGATTTTCAAAAGTCGCGAATCTGTAGATGGATATTTCTTCTCAATTATAATACATCTAACATACATACGCAAGGGAATCATGTGATAAAATGTAAATTGGTAAAGGTTTGAATTTGCTGTGGAATCCATTATGGTACTATACAAAACAAAAGTGTACACATAACTTAATAATGCAAAAAGTCTTAAGATATCTTAAGAAAACACCTAAAACACTGTTGGTGTAATAGGTTAGAGATCTTAGTCTTTAGGATACAGCTGGTAAGCATTAATTTTGAAATAAATGTTTATTTTTGAAAGCAATCTTAATCTATGTTGTAGTTATTTCAAAATACAAATTAGTTTGTTAACAAGCATTGAAACTAGTCTCTTATCGATCCCAAATGTCTTTGAATGGATGAACATTTTCTTTGAAATTATCTTTGGTCGTCCGATGAAAGTTCAATATTATTTGATCTTATTCGAAAATGTAGTAGAGTTTTGTTAGGTTACAAGATTTTTATCCTTAGCCTCGTTTTTTTACTCTTAGATCACTCTACGCGCGATCAAACTTGATCTCATTTCCTTTGTACAATTGTACATATACGTATAGGTATGTGTGTGTGTGTGTGCAAGGGGCACGAATATTGATGTCATGGTTGATCATGAAATTCGAAGGAATGATCAAGAAGTAAATGTGTTAACTGCGTCGACTCTCGGATCATCGCTCTTCACTTAAATTATCTTAATACTTCTCGTGATTTGTTCCCCCGCGCTTTGCCACTTTTATCACAATCATCCTATCGTAGATTGAACATACTTGAAAGAGTATATATATATATATATACATTAATATGAAAATATTAAATTCTATTTATTCCTACGGATGAAGCCCGCTAACCCAAAGACATACGAACGATATCGTTTATAACAACGTCCTTGTTTTATATACGTTGGATATTTTTTTTCAAGATTAATAATAAGATGATACATATGAATCTCGAAATCTAATATTTTCATATTAATTTTGATTATTATTAAAGCTTTCTAGTATCGATTATCAATGAATTAATATTAATTCAATATCCAAACTTTATTTCTTCATTTAAAATATTAATTATTACATTTTATATTATTTTTACAATTATTATTAGTAATTAATTATGACAATAATTTTTACGTACAAAGTTATTAATTAAGTTTCTAAATTTAATTAAATTTAATCTCTCTTATAAACGTTATAAAAAATAAAAAATAAATGGAAGACCTATACTATAAATCTCAAATTAATGATAAGCAATAGATAAAGAAGAGTAATAAAAAGAGATTTTCTCTCTCTCTCTCTCTCTCTCTCTCTCTCTCTCTCTCTCTCTCGTGGAGTAAATGCGTATCGTCAAATGAACCGAGCTGAGCGAGATGAATTCGGTGGTGGTTTCAGTATACGCTTGGAAAGGTCTAGGTTGTGGGTCGTTGTTGATGGTGGTGTGGTGGCGTTGCCTGCTAGCGCAGTCGCATTAGATCCTTGGTAGTCGTCGGTGGAGAGTTCGTTTGTGTCGTCGGTCCAGGTACGAACAGCAGACAGAAGACAAAGGCTTGCGCGCGAAACGTGAACCAATGACAATTAAAAATCAAGAGGCAAAGAAAGAAACAAATAATAAAATAATCAGATAAATATATTTAAAAAAAAAAACAAAACAAACCAAACAAGCCAAATAAATACATATATATATATATATATACACCATAAAAAAAAATTTTTTAAATTTAAAAAAAAATCCACAGCGTCTGCAGATAGAAAAAAGAAAGTGAGAGAGAGAGAACAGAGAGAGAGAGAGAGAGAGAGACAGAGAAGTCAAACTTGTATCACCGGTTCGTCTTTCGAGGAAGATCGACGCAACTCGAGGTAAGTTATTAAAAAATATTATTTTCATTTATTTAAATAATATATATATATATATATATATATATATATATATATATATAAACAAATTCGACTGTTAAAATGCTTCCTATCTTTTTTATTCGATTTACAAATATAGAGTAAGAAAGAAAGAGAGAGAGAGAGAAAATTGTAGCAACGCTAGTCTTAAGTAAGAAGATAGGTGTAGGGGCGATGATGGTGAAAGAAGGAGGTGAAAGATAAGTTACTTGGATCGTCGTGGTCTTTTCCTGAATGCAAAATCGGCTCGCGTTAGCTTGTTCTCACGCATCGCTCGCGTTATCCATTGATTTTCCGCCGGCAAGACCCGCCCCATAAGAGAAGCATATTATGCTTTCTCTCTTCTTCTACCCTTTGATGTTCCGGCATCAGCTCCACCTCTTGGGTCATGTCTGGCTGTATCATCACCGAATTAAATCTCTTTAATCAGTTCTTCTAATGCAAATTCTGCTGGAATACCTCCAGTAGTATACTTTGCAATAATATCTATTCGTTTTTTGTTAGGAACAAAACCTTTGTTGATGTAATATCCAAGTGCTTTGACAAGTATACTTTTCCTTATGTTTTTATTTTTTACATTTATAGTAGCTGCTAATAATGCACACATAGCTATATCAACATCAAATTGTTCCAAAATATATCCACCATTTTGTGTACTCTGGCTTATTCTAATTAAAAGTTCATCTTCCTCTAAATCAAGTTCATTAGCTAAATTAAGCATGTTATCTTTATTGAAATATGCATCAGATTGTGGTGTCATCAATTTTTGTCCTTGACTATAAGCCCACTTTATAAGTCTACTAAATGTTTCTTGAGCTATTAAACCAGCTTCTTTTAATGACAAAGTCATGTTATGTGATTGATTATCAGTCGTAAATAATGGATTCTTTTGTTTATATTTTGTTATTAATACTGTGTACTTTGTTTCATCTTCATTATATAAGAAATTAAAATTCCAAATCTTATCAACTGTCTCCTTTTTCATTTTTCTCGATTCAGGGATAACTTCATAAATAATCTTAGAACAAAATTCAACAGCCTTTGATTTCTTATCCATCATCAATGGCTCTTTATAATCTTTACAATACTTTTTAAATTCATTTTGCAAAGCAATCATATCAAATTCCAATTCGCCATACATTTCAATAAAATCATCAGGAGTAATACCTGTTATTGAGTAATTCTTCAAATTTCCATAATGCACAATAGGTGCTTGTAACGCATCTGGAGCACCACAGGTTGCCATTTTTGCAGAAATATTTGTAATTTATTAAAATGTTATTAAGACTTAAAAAGTGCCTTATACAGTACTTAACTACGCGTATAATTTCTTCACGTCGTATTGGAATCTCAGAAATTCTAATCAAATAATTTTCATTACTACAGTTTCCTACCAATTCCAAATAAATTTTTATTTTTTCCCTGGTATCACACTTTAATATCACAGAGTATTAACACTGTTGTGATCTACTTTAATTATTATTGGTAATCACAGCCATATATAACATAATCACAATAGAGGTGTTTGTAGCACTTGACTTCTTAATTTTAATCCCAATGGTATTGTCTCTTAGATATTATCATCTTGTTTAGGCGACTTTATAACGAAAAATAATGTTTCTTAATGACAGGATAGGGAAGAATGATAGCTAATAGTTCGAAGGTAATTATTTTTCAATGATGATACATTTTCATCTAATACATTTCGTTTTAATTCAAGTTTTTCTTCGTCGGTCAAATTTCTATTATTATTCTATTGTTATATATTTATTTTATCGGTTCATTGGTTCATTGATTTTAGATTTATTTTTAATATTGATTTTATATGTTTTCTTATATACGCATGTGTATATTGTAAAAGTTTTATCAATTTCAGTGAGTTTTTAATTTTTAAAAGCTTTTATTAACATAACATTGTATATCTATGTATTATTAACTTTCCTGGTTCTCTTTCGATATTTATATATTTCTGTGTTTTCCTTTTTTTTTTTTTTTATTATCATCAAGTCGATATATTTGGTTTCATATCAAAGTTTAATATAAAATATCTTTTACTTTTTAAAAGCTTTTGTTAATTAAACATTATAAATCATTTATAAATTTGTTAATTTTTACTTAAAAAATAAATTAAATATTGTTAAAAGATTTAATATATACATATACATATAATTAGGAATACATACGTGATGTCGTCGTGATCTTTGTTTTCAATCGATCTTTCTTTTCAATCACGATTCTCGAATTCAGAAGTTAATTAAAAAATCATTTGAATTCGATGTCTTATTGCAGTTAAATTTGAAATTTGAAATTGTCGAGAGCGCAGTGAGTAATTAATCAAAGAAAATGTATATTATCGTTTAAAAACACGGAATATAAGTTCGACACATCATTCCTTTTTGAAATCCTCTGTTAAACTGTCACGTTGTCCTCTATGAAAGTCAGCTTAAGTTTTTCTTTTATTTATTCTTGTTTATATATGACTTTTCGTATATTATTCTCGTTAAACATACATATCAAATCTTCGGTGTATCATATAAACAATATTCACAATAAAGAAACTTTCATTGAGGACACCATGTCAGTCTAACGGTGGATTTCGAAGAGGACGGTGCATCAAACTTATACTCCGTGTTTTTACACTACAATTAATATTTCTTTCGATTATTTAATAATCATTTAAGGTATGTTTAATACTCTAATGTACTTTATTAATATTTAGAATTGTTTAAACTAAAATATATTTTTTTTAACGTTCCTGCGCAGTGATAATCTCGAGTTGAAAATTTGTATATTATAAAAATTAGATCGAAATTGTTGAATATTTGAAGTATATTAATAGATATGTCATTTTTAAACAAATGTCTTTTAAATTATTCTTATTTTAATGAATATTAAATTGATTTTGATACTAAACAATAACAATAAAAACAAAGGATGACCAATTGTTAGCCAAGTAATCGTCTTGTTTTACCAAAGTGTACGATTTTAACGTACGAGAGTACTTCTTGTACATTATTTTTGTATTTGTTTAATTTGCTTATTATAAGTAAAACTTACAAGTTAAAATTATTAAAAATATATAATGAAGATATATACTAATATATTTATTTCTAATTTTTGTTCATCATAGATATATTATATCAATAATTTTCAAGCAAAAATCTAGTAAACATAATGGTGTACGATTTTAAGGAGACACTTATTCTATTTAAAAATATCTAATACTAAAGGGAACGGAAAGATTGATAAAACTCGACCTCTCGTCTATTCACTTTACTATTCTCATATCTTTTCGTTTTTTTTTCTCTCTCTTTCTTTCTCTTGCTCGAAAAAAAAGTCTATAAAATAACGCGTTTTTATCGTGTATCAGTATTATCTATAGTTTCGAGAT